TATCGTAACTATCCGAAATAAAGCTCATGCCAATGGCCTAAGTGGTCACCTTTAATATTAAAAAAAAAAAAAAAAAGAATTTCATTAAGTGGTGAATGAGGTGGACTTTCAGTAATTACATAATAACTATTTTGAATATCATTATCAATGTCATTGGCATCAGTATTTTCAATATCATTGTTAAGCTTAGAAGGTTGTGTAATAGGTTTGTTTATAATTTTTTTTTTTTTGCGGTAGAAGTACCAGATCTCAAAGTATCCAATGCCTATCAAAGATAATAAATAAAAGTTACGCTTAAATATTTGATAAAAGTCGACCTAGATTCTAGATAGTTATTAAAATGACTTCATCTTGTTTTGGACCAATTTTATGCTTTTGACTTTTAGGAGGCATTGGATTAAAAAAAAAAAGAAGATTTTAAGGTATAAAAATTATTGAGTCTTGCCTATACGAATTTTAGAAATTTTTATAAAGAGTCTGATTACAATAGGTATAGAGTACAGATTATGCAATGCATAAAGATAATGCAACAAGCATGAGTTAGTAATGTATCCAGAATTAAAAAGGAAAGATACGTTGCTTTAATTGTATTACCATTTAAAATTGATTACTTTTTTTTATTTATTATTATTATTTCAATAAACTTATATGGTGATAGCTTTTATTGAGTATTGGATAAATATATATCGATTATAGTTAACATTAGAGATAACTAGAGCCACAAAGTATCATTTCAAAAAATTGAAGCGGCATATAATTCGTTTTCATGTGTTGTATATATTGTAGAATTAATATATTTAAAATACTTTTATTCTTAAAGTAGACGTAAAGTTGTAAAAACTTTATAGAGTTGATTGAACTTTTGATATTTACATTTAACAACACTTTGGAATCTAGTATCAATTGTAAAAAAACTAAGAATAAAAAAAGATTAATATTTTTGTTTTCTTGAAAAATCTATATACAACTGGTTTGTGTAACATATATTATTGCATTAATTCGATCACCCAAACTGATCAATTACTAGAATATTTAATTAATTTGTATAACCTAATAGAATGTTCAATTACTATTTTCTCTTGCTATATACTAATCTAGAATTTTTGATTATAATTATTGTTTTAAAAAGAAAATCATGATTGCATTATTGCATAATGACATTAGGAGTATAATGCTTATGATCGATAGTATGATTGAGAAGTCAAAAATTATTATAAAGGCAAAAAAAAATTTTGATTAACAAATTTTGGCAGTTTGTTTGAAATAAGACAAAATTTTTAAAAAAAAGAAACTTACCTAATAGTTCTTTATTATTAAAATAATAATTTATATAAAATTACTAAATTATTTTATTTAATTTTTTTTTTAGATTTTTTTTCAATATTTGTCTATAGTGTATATAAAACAGAATTTGGTCATTTAACAAGTCTTATAAATCACAAGAAAGATCACAAAAACTATTGTCAGGTTGAGGACAATACTGACACTAGTTCAAATGAGAGCACAGATATTTATAGTTCTAATGAGTCAGAGATTATATATAAACAAAATAACAACCCAGACCTGATATTTAATATTCAAGATGAAATTCAAGCTATTGCTAATGAAGCTTCCAAATTTAAGTCAATAATGATCACTAACTAGCAAATAACTTACAATTATGAGCAAATATTTGAGAAAAACAGTAACTCTTGTCAAGTAATTGAAGGAAATAGTGAGTCTAATCAAATGTCTGAAAATAATATA